GATAGCTTTTCGGCCCTCCTCTTCTGGTACAGGTCCACCAGTTCGTCGTGATAGGCCACAGCGTCGGCGATATCTTGTTTGCCCATCCTTTCTAAGCGTGACATGATGTCTTCGTCCGTGTTCTCAACTGCATCCGAGTCGTTACATCCCAAGTTAATTCCCCAAACTCGCTGGTTCGCATATAAGGGGTCATTTTCAATGGGGTGCCCGACAAATTGCAGATGCACGCGGATCTGATGCGTCCTGCCCGTCAGAGGCAGGCAGCGAACGATTGAGTAGCCCTCTTTCTTGATCCAAGGCCGGCGTTCCTCGTCCGCAAGTCGTTCCGCACTCTTGGGCGCTGCTGCCTCCGAGTCATTCAGCGTGTCCGGCGGGTAGTAGGCCAGACGTTTGAAGACGGTACGGGCCGACTTTCCGTTGGCTCGCACGCGGTTGAGGCCTAGTCGCGGGGATATTTGGAGGATAGGTTGGTCGCAGACAACCTCGCCATCAGGAAACTTTCCAGCAACGCGCGCCAAGTATTCTTTGCGGACCGTGTGAGCTCTAATTTGAGCAGTGAGCTTCACTGCTGCCTGTGGTGTCTTGCCGACGAAAAGAATTCCACTGGTGAGGCGGTCCAGGCGATGGCACGGGTAGGGCAGGAAATGCTCGCCTCGCTCAGACTTCATGATCTCGATAAGTGTGTTGTACTTGTATCTGCCAGCAGGGTGAACCGGTACACCGGATGGCTTATTGACCACGATCATGTCATCATCTTCGTGAATGACACGAATCGGCTCGCCTGTGACAGGGGGCTCATGGCGATGAATTGTGTGATTCACAAGGTCTCCATTCTTGACCAGATGATCCGGGCCGACTGCCTTTCCGTTGACAACGATGGCTCCAGTTTCCATGGCATACCGGTAGTACTCTAGGGTGCGGTCCCTGAATTCATCCTCAAAGATGTCGATTAGCTTTCGGCCGCGCCAGCGTTGCTTGGCCCAGGTGTGGTAGGTAAAGTGATAAGGAGCAACTCTGCGGAGACCGTCCTCGAAGAAGTAAGGCCGAGGCCACATGTCGCCGGTAGGCGTCGTCAAGACTTCGGGCAGCTCATTGGGAGCTTCAGACGGTTGGACATCCGGTAGCTTGGATGGTTCAGCAGCGGGAGCTGCAGCCGACGTCTGGGCCGCAGCTGACGTTGGTGCCGTTTGATCAGAAGCCATGGCAGGCATAAGAGATTCCCGTCGGAATGGCAGCCTTGCCAAGGACCAAACAGAACGCAAGAGGGTAGCCAGGGTTGATCAGGTAGGTAGTTATGTCGAGAGGCGGGGTGTGCGATGGTGTAAGCAGTAAGTGGCGTATTGTGGAACTGTGCGAAACTTCGACTAGTCGTAAGTAGGCAGTGCTTGAGAAGTCGCTTGCTATTTGCCTCGAGGAGCCTGGATATCAACTACTAGCAAACTTTGCGTGTATGGTGAAAGGTATCTCGAAAAGAGTCACAAATTCTTGGCGGTCAGGCGTGGCAGAACTTTGCTGAAGTTGGATTTTTGGTGGACAGGTTCGGGAAAGGTGGATTGGCAGAAGCATGATTGGTCAGTGAAGAGACCTTGTAGTTACCTGACATAAAATACTATGGAGCCCACCATTTTCCGGCCAAGGTATTAATCAGCACCCCTGGGCTTGTAAGCTAGCACTGGCTGGCACGGCAGGTATTCCGGCTCTGAACCAAATAGGTCTGCCGACATTGGTGATTGGCTCCTGTTAGTTTGGCGGCAACATGACATTCTGCCTCGGCTCAGCTACCTAAGGAAATCTCATGAGCTGCGAATCAACTGCGGCAATCAAAAGTCTCAACAATTTCTCCGCAACTCTTAAGGAGAAGCTACGAAGGCTTCTTCATCGAAAGGTTTAAAGCAACGAGCTGAACCACAACTCAATCGAGAAAAGTGCCGATTGGGGAACGCGCGTTTAACAGTGACGTCTGACTGCGCATCATTCATCTCTTGTCACTTTTTTGTGTTTCTCAACCAATACAACCCGAGCAAGGGCCAGTACCTGCGGTATCACCGCCTACGACTTGCTCCAAATACCCGATCTCTTTCATCATCTCACAGCACCGCCATGGCCAGCAATAAGCACTTAAAGCAGCGTCGAAGGGAGGACTACGGGTACATTCTAGACTATCGGACACGATGGTGAGTTCACCTTCATCCCGTCATGGTTATCACAAGCTGTCATTGCGGCTTCCACTTTTACCTACTCCTCGGTGCTTCTCATCCTCCCTGCTATACCTCGAAACGGAGGGACCGAGCCCATTCCTCGCAAAGCTTCAAGGGGGGCTTGTCCGTGCTGCAAGCGGACGCCCTCCCTCCCGTCCTTTCCTTCGTCAACCTCTCACGCCCACGGCTCATAGACGAGGGCGCCCTTCACAGCGTATCAGTAGCCGTCATCTTCTCATCATTATCGTCACCTCCTATTTCGCTTTCATTCGTCTGCGCTTTTGCTGCTTGGGCAGAGATTGACAAGGTTTCTTAGGGCCGATAATGATATGTACCAGCACATGAACAATAGCGTCTACAACTTCCTGTATGCTTCTCTCGATCAAGCTAATGTCCGCGCGGCGTCCGACTAAGAAACTGCAGATACGACTCCGTAGTCAACGCCTACCTGATCGAGCACTGTGGCCTATCTCCCTTGCGTTCTAATCAGTACGGCCTTGTGGTACACTCACATAGCGACTACTTTGCTTCTATTGCGTACCCCGCAGTAGCTCAATTAGCGCTACGAGTGAACAAGTTGGGGAAGTCGAGCGTGACATACGAAATTGCCTTGTTTGAAAAGGGAGTGGACGAGGTGAGAGCAGTCGGGGAGTTTACCCACGTCTTTGTCGAGAGATCTACCGGTCGTCCAACCGCATCCGGAATGGAGGACGAAATGCGGAGGGGTCTACGGCGACTTCTGGTGGTGGATGGCAGGGAAAACAAGCTCTAAATTGAACTCTATCACCCACCCACTTGTGCCATGGAGCTTATCTCCTAACAAATTTCTCTACCAGTTTACAGCTGCAAGCTCAGCTTTTGGATTGCGCCATCCTGTTCACCACTCGTGAAGATCTTCTCGAGGAACTCCAAGTCCGCCAGCGCCTCCTCGGCTGATTGCAGGGGGTTGGGTGTTCCGGCGACCAAACCTTCAGCCCAGGCCTTGACCTCCTCCTTTACACCACTCGTCTGTTCAAAGTGAGTTGTTGTTGCCTCGCCGTCAAAGGGCTTGACGATGAGATCGTGACTCGACAAGGTCACGCTGCCGTTCTCGCCCGCCACGTGGAAGTCGAAGGCACTTAGGGTTGAGCCAACACTGACGGCGAAGGAACCAGTGGCGCCCTGCTTGGTCTTGACGACAGCATTGATGGTGTCAATGGGCGGCAGGTGCTCCCGGGTCAAGTCCGAGAAGGCGGCAACCGAGGCCGGCGCCGCGTCCTTGCCGAGCAGCAGGCGAAGGGCGGCGGCGAAGTGGACGCCGCCGTCGAGGAGGAATCCACCTTGGTAGTCGGGCTTCTTGCGCCACGCAGTCTCAATGTACTTGCCGCCCAGTTTCACGAAGAAGAAGACCCTCACGTTGAAGCCGATGACTTTGCCTAGCTTCCGCAGCTCGTCTCTTGCCGTAGTGTAGCGGGGCTGGAAACGGTAGTTCTCGGCCACGGCGAAGGTCACGCCCTTTTCGGCGGACACCTTTTTGTAGTACTCAATCAGCTCCTGCGCACGAGCAATGTCGGCAGCGATAGGCTTCTCGGCTAAGACGTGCTTTCCTGCAGCAAGGGCCTGCTTGATGTAATCGGGCTGGTTTAGGATGGGCAGGGCCAAGATGAGGGCCTGAATGTCATCACGGGCCAAAAGATCCTTGAAGGACTTGCCCTCGCCCGCGTCGTCAGAGTACAAGTCAGGTGAGGCTGACTTGGTGACGAGCTTAGCCGTATCCTGAGCAGACTTGAGGGAGCGAGAGAAGATAGCCTTGAGGGTGAGGTTATCGCTTGCTTCCACAGCAGGCTGTTTGGGCAGTCAGTGACTACGAGACACGCGGCTTCCAGGAACGGGCGATATCAGCTAGGTAGTTGTCTTACCAAATGCTCTTCCTTGGCAAAGATGCCTCCTCCAACAATAGCTACTCCGATGGGGGCCATGGTTTCTCAGATATATCGTTCAAGGTTAGATGCGAGCCGTGCGGAAAACCTGAGTCAAGCAGATGTAAGGCAGGGTGTACATAAATAGAATCGTACTGGAATATATTCTAGTCCGTTGTGATGAGTAAAAGTTGAGAGAAGTGAAGGATATAAACGATTTCTCTGTTCAAATTCAGTTGAACATCTTCCAGGCATTTCCTTATTTGTCCATGAAGGCGCGTTGTGCAGTAGCCAGGCACGCAAGCAATGCCATCATCGGCCCTCTCCTCCAATGCCTGGGGAGCTTCGTGATGGTAGTGGGGTATTGTTGGCGGGGTCGGAGAGACCTGTGGGCACAACCGTCTCGCAGCAAGTTGCTAGAGTTGATGAGACACTATCTCATTCTGGTGGAAAACACTCTCGAATTTGTTATGGTGTCAACACTGACACCCCGCTTTGAATTGAGAGCCTTACTCCTTTGGGAAAGTATAACAGTTGAGTAGTTGGGGACCTGGGTTCCTGCCAAACGCACCGCATCGGAAGGTTTGTACGGGAATGAATTTTTTGATGAGGTTAGGTTGATTCCAATGGATGGCAGGTGCTCAACACAGATGAGGCCGCAGCTTCTGTGTTTCCAAGTGTCATGTGCTGTATGTATGATTTTTGCAAGGAAAGAATCTACTGGCTAAGGCAGGGTAATACTGAAAGAAATGCTCGTGATCATAAGTATATAAATCATCTCATCCAAGTTCCACTTGGCTACGCGTATTTGCCCCTATAAACCTGGTCTCCTGATTTACTTCCTTACTGCCGCATTCCGGATCTGCATCCCCGGATTTTCGGCTCCATTTAGCTACCGTTCTTTTCATACCGTGCCAGAGGCGGTGCTCTCTGATTCAACTTCGTCGTCGCTGCTACTGTCGTCCAGTCGGTCGATGGCTCGTTGGCACTCCTTATCCCATTTACTAAACCCAACAATAACCCATTCCAACGCCCCTACCAGATACAAGGCAACACATTGTCCGATCCAAAGGCCGGCGAGACCCCAGCCATGAAAGGCGAGGTAGATGCCGGCGGGGAGAGCTCCACCGTAGTAGCTGACGAGGTTCACCACAGCCCCGACCCACTGACGGCCCATGCCTCGAAGGGCACCACCACACGATCCGTTCAGACCGTCTGCTACCTGGAAGAGTGCGACGTACGGCATCACTTCACCTACGAGCCGCACCACTCGATCATCGTCGTTGAAGATCTTGCCAAACACATCTTTGGTCGCCATGAGCACAGTAAGGACTACGCTCCCGAGTATCACGGACAGGATTGCAGCCGAGTGTGCTGCTATCGCCGCGTCCCGAGACCGCTGAGCTCCCAGCAGATTTCCTAGTCTTGCCGATGCTGCTACCCCAAGACCAAAGGGAATCGTGTTGATGATTTGGTCCGCCGTCATGATGACAGACTGAGCCGCCAACGGGATAGTGCCAAGTCTCCCGGCAGCCAGGGCCACAATCTCAAAAGCCCACCACTCAGTGCCAACATGTACGACTCCAAGAAGTGCAAGCTTGGAAAACGGCCCAATATTTCTGATGGCTTTCCGAAGCTCTAGGCCGCCCCAGCATTCCTTGCCACGGACGAAGACTGCATAGGCGACAAGAAGGAGAAACGATACCCAGTACGAGATACCTGTGGCCAAGGGAGCACCATACAAGCCGAGGCCCAAAGTGTGGATGAACAAATAGTTGAGCCCGGCGTTCATCGGAGATGTAATCAATAACACATATGTGCCTGGGCGGTAAATCGCTGTCACATCCACGTCAGTGCCGTCATCTATTTCTCTCACTCTTTGACTTTCTAGAGGTGGTACTGAGGGGCCTTAACTTACCTTGCGCCTGCAAATACTTCTTCATGGCCTCGAACCACACGTACCCCAACCCGCCCGGGATCAAGCATCGCAAAAAAGCCGAGCTTTGCACGCAGATGAACTCTTCTTGGCCCAGCGCCCGGAACACCGGTTCGGAAAACCACCAGAGCACTGCCACTACGGCATAAAATGCCGACAAGACAAGGATACCTCTCTGCAATAGAATGCCCAAGTCGTGCTTGTTCGAAGATCCCGTGAAGCTACTCGAAGCAAGAGTGTCGAGAGCAGTCGTGCCACCCAGGGCAATAAGCCAGGCTGTCGCCATGGCGAACATGTAGCTGAAGGCGGCGGTGGCGAGTGCTTCCGGGCTCAGTCTGCCAACAATAAGAACGCTGATGGTTTGCAGACTGTTCTGCAACGTGTACGCCAGGATAACCGGGACAGCGGCTTTGGCCAGCAAGAGGATTTCGGCCAGCCACAGCCGGACTGCGTAGCGTTCTTCCGACTCGGCCGCTGGGGGCTTCGGTAGCAACGCCGTAGTCTCGGACCGGGACGACATGGAGGGCGGGCCCAGTGTGTCGGCCGAGGACGTGTCCGACATTGCGGTGCTTACTCGGATTGCGACCGCCTTCTATCAAGCTCGATGCCGCTCCGGAAGCGGTGGTTGTGGAAAATCCACCCGACTGTCGAAACCGTTTTCCGGATGTCGATAAGAGAGACTGCAAGCGCGAGTCAAGGGACGAAGCATATGAGACAATCCGAGGCTAGTTGTGCACCCAAGCACCAACGTGTTTGCTGGCGAATCTCCAAAGACTTAAGGGAGGGAGCGAAGGTTCAGACGATCAGATGTCAAAAAATAAAACGAAAAGGACAGCGGGAAACGGCTCAGCATTGTATACGGCATTTCTCAAAACTCCATCTTGCGACCCCTCCCCATCCCATGCTGGTCTCGAAAGTTCAGACACAAGATAGCTGACAAAAGCTATTTGCCACGCGCAATTGGGCCAAGTTTACAACTCCAGGACGGACAATTGACCTTGCTCACCTCTCGCGAGGCATGCCTGGTTCTCATCGCGCGGGGAGAACCCCTCAATCGACGGGCAAAGATTGGACAGCGATTAGTCTGCATTTCGGCCGACATGAATTTATTTCCACGCTTGCGAGGGTCTACGTGGGTGAGAAGGACGTTAGACAGCGGACCGTTGACTCTGAGTGGCTGCATCAACTATCGCACGGCAACTGGCCCATCCGAACTGACGCAATGGATGAGGTCGGATTTCTCGAAGGAGCAAGCGGCTTACATTGTGCGCAGTTGCTGCGACTCTGCCCTACTTATTGTCTGGAAGCGCGGCGGCCACCTTGATGAAATACCGGTACCAAGAGATTCTGTGGTCCAATCTGCCGGAAATGCAAATCGTGCATACACCGCATTCTTCAGCGCGCTAAGCCAAGAAGAGGAGCCGACGCTCAACCAATGCAGATTCTCCTATCTTGCATCTTATCCGTGGACCGAGGACAGCGATGGCTTACCTAAGGAGCAACGCTTTTGGGCGTTCCAATCTGGCACCGGCACCGGCACTGGCAGCGACGGGCAACATGGGCATAGGCTTCGGTGAACAAGGAGCGGGAAACGGCCGACACCGGTATCGGGTCCAGCTTCGCCGGCCGAGTGGGCCACTCTGGGGAGTAGGAGCACAAAAAGGGCTGAGAGAAAGAGGAGGGGGGGAGGAGGGGGCGTTGTCTTATCGCCCAGTCGCATTGCTTCCAATCTGCAAGTATGGGATATCATCGCTTCACGCCAGCACCGACTGGTTCACAACCTAGGTACTTTGCTGTGCTGAAGGACTTGTCGAGGTCAGAGCGCGCAAGTACCCATTGGTGCCATCTCACTTTAGGCCCATCTCGAGATCTTCGCCGCAGCGAAAGACCGGCGGCCGACCTCATGACCGACGGGATTGTGGGCATGAGAGGAGAAAGGGGGGAAACAAGTCTCCAACTTGCATTGGTGCAATACGAGAGTGGACATGGAACGATTGGAGCAGCTCCAGAAGACACTCTAGAAGAACCTTGGTCCAAAAGAGGGAAAAATCGAGACCATCTTCAGAGTATCAAAGCGCGACGGTCAACCGCCAGGCGAGGCGAGTACGACAAACTCAGACAGAGGGACGTCAGCACGAGGATCTATGGTCAAGGATTGATGGGCGCCACCATCTTGGACTAACATTGACATTCTCGCACAGAGTATCAACATCGATCAAGCTTTAGACACGGAAACTTCTCGAAAACAGCCGGAATAGTCTTAGCAGCTGGAACAGAAGCTATCCAGCATAGCTGTAACGACGGTTGCGGCCAATGGATGGCACGCGCACGACTAACGGGACTCGATGCCATGTGCTTTTCATGAGTCGAACTCGCCAGGAACAACGGCTTAATCTCATGCGCACGAGGCGACTTGGGTTGACTTTGACTTTTGGTTTTGAGCCAACCTGCTATAATATCGTCACTACTGCATTGATTGAGTCGGGCAAACGGCGAATGCGGCAACGGATACAGGTTCAGCGATGGACAGCACAGATACGTCGTACGGGATACCTTCGAATGCCTTACTTGGTGCAAGGTTGAGTCCTCTTTTCACAGAACGCATAACGGCGTCATACAGATCTCATGGTTACGGGTGAGAACCAACGCATTCTGCAAGGCCAAAGTTAAAGTCTAAATAGACGAACCCCGTCCCCTGCCTGGTCAGCGCCCGCGAAGCCCGTCAAGTCAGCCCGCGCGCCCACTCAGCGATACTGAGAGGGTGCCATTTCTCATCGCATCTTGGATGGCAATCACACAAGGAAGATTCCCTGCCACCGCGGTGGCCGCAAGGTACAGATCAAAAGTTCAGCACACCAAAGAAAAACGGAGTCTGATCTGACACAGGACGTGGCAGCCTTCTACGAGTACCTTGATCCATTCTTTGATTGGGAAAGGAATTCGTTCGAAACACGCCGTGGAACGTGGCTCTAAACTCTAAACCATTCGTCGGGGAACCCTTTCGCCCGCCCCCCTTCTACTGCGTACGTCCGGGACTGGGCTTCGAACAAAGTGAAGACGGACTGTTCCCGTTCGACCAACATTGGTCTTTGCAAGGTACCGGATGTAATGTCTGCACCTGTGGTCTTCAGTGTACGGGTACATTGCCATAACTCTTCTTTCTCAGTCTCTTCCACACCACCTTGATGAGCAGACATTGTACAGTCACCCCTACGCACCGTATCCGTAGGGAACCACTTCCTTCACCCTGCTCTTCCTTGCTCATGGGACATCGCATTGCATACACCACTTCACGCAGTACAGCTACACGGCACGATTGCTTCCAGAGTTCCACACAACATGTTTTTTCTCTTCGCTCTCCCTCTCTGTTTTTGCCTTTGTATCCTTGGTATTCACCCGTCTCTGTTCCTACGATCTGCATAGTACATCCCATCATACACCCTCCTTCTCGCCTCCTGTTGCTGTTTTTCCGTTGCTGAAGCTCTCATATGCGTCGAATCAAACTCAGGCTTTCCTAGCAGAGAATCATTTTAGCGGACGTTCGGGATCGACGCCGCCAATGCCTCTAGGCTGTCTCCTGCGGGTATCTCCTTGAACTCTTTTTTGGCTTCAGGGTTTTGACGTCACCTCCGGACGACGGAAGAGGAAACAGAACTGCGGGTACGGAAATTCCGCTAGAACGGTTACACTACAAAGTCCAACCGTCGAAAGGACCCAGCCCAGCCCAGCCCAGCCGCTGCCCCGGCACAAAGTGCGGATGCTACGTACGGACGGGTTCGGGAGTGCTTGCTCTCCACTTGCCAACCACCGTCCCGAATCCGCCAGTCTCTCTGTACCGTGTGCGGAGGATGCGTGTCTCACTTCTGCATACGGGGTTTGTGATATCCGTGGTTGAGCTGGAGTATGCCATTCATTCTTCCGTTCTACCGTTTGTCACTCAGCCAGAACCGGCCCTTTGCAGTACCGATACCACTTCAGACGCAGGCAGGCAACCTCGCTTCGACAGATAGCGTATCCGTACGAGCGTATCGTTTCCCAGGGAAGCGGTCGAACGGGAAATAGGGCATCCGAACGGTTTAGGGTTCTTCAGTGCAGCTTCTGGCACGTCCACGTGGCTTCCGGCAAAGTGAACGGAGAACCGCCCGGCATCGCACTTCTCTGCGACTTCTCTTTTTCAGCATGGTCGCCCGTTTCACGGGGGCCTCGAACGCTGCCTATCCCGGCCGTGACGAGTTACATGTTGCCGTCAAAAACGTGGGCAGCGTTGTATCGTCCATAAAAGTGTCAGGAGAGGAATCATCTGCTGGGCGCCCGCTGCTGGGACGGTTCCGCAAACTGGAACATAATACACACCCTGCTATGAGGGAGGGGAGCAGCAAGAGGAGGGGGGACTTTGCATCGTCACCCACTCTTTAGAGTTCGAGGCCGCAGTATCACCGCAGGCCAGCCTCTCCCCCAGTACCCTCCCTCGTTCCCACCCTTTCGATGCTCACTCGTCTTAATCCTGGTCTTTGGTCGAACTTTGCCAGCGGAAGGTGCAAGCGCTTTCCCCAGGAGTAATTTCGGAAGTCGGATCGTAGGGATTGTTGATGGAGATTTGGAAATGACGACGTTATGGCCCAGGTACGAAGTTACTGCTTCTTGCACAATTGTCGTGATGCCAAAAAAGCCACCTCCCTTGTACCCTGCCATATATCAAGGCCCCCCCCCCCCTCTTTTCCCCCGGGCAGTTGCCCTGTCCATGAAGCCTTCTCTCTCCCCTGTCTGTTCTTTTTTTCCCTCTCCCAATGTTACCTTTATGCAGTAGCTCCCAGCAGCAAGCTGACCCCTGAGAGGAAACCGCTGCGCTACGGTGTTGCCGCCGGCAGCGTCGCCTTCTTCAACACCTCGTGGCGAGTTGAAGTCTTGCAAATACCAGAAATGGACAGCCCGAGAATGGCAGGTTTGTTATTGTCGCAGCCGTTACGCTCAAGGGACGTCATTCTCGACGCAGGACGCAGCAATCTGCTTTCGCCAGTGGCCCCGTCCTTCACACCTCCACGATGAAGGGAAATATTTTCCCTCGTTGTCGGGTTTTGTAACCTGCAATATGCCGCCGTGGACCGACGTGTCCAGCAATATCCATGACTTTGCGGGAACGGAGTCTCTCCACCACAAAGGAGGAGTCTCTTCAGCAGTCGTCGTGTGTTTCTTGGCTACACACCCACTCACCGCTCTTCGCGCCCGGAGCGCCGTCCTCCTCTTGCTGGATGCCGCTCCATCCCTCTCCTCCTCTCTCCTCTACTCCTCCTGCTCTCCCATGTCTTGGCCCTCGAGCCAATGCTGCAGCCGCATGCCGGTCGACGCGGCACCCATAGCCATTGCCCAGTTTTCCACTCCGAGCGTGAGGGTACTGATCGTCAACATGTTTTTCACAAAGCGCGCGTGCGGCGTCCGGTGGCATGCCGGCGCGATAGCCAGCATAATCCAGTGAAATATGCCCACCGTGTCGTTCCATGTCGACAGGGGTACGCGCCATGTCGTCGTCCAGATCTGCAGAAATTCTGATTCCGTGCATGTCCCGCTCAACGGCGTCCGGGTCATGACGGCCCGCGTGTAAAGTAACGCTGTCATTCGGATAACCTGGTACATGAAGTCCGGACTTTGCTGCTGGTGGTATGCGGATCGAGGACTCGTCGGAGAATCGCTAGCGTCTCGGGTATGTGACTTGCTTGACGACCACTCGGATGTCGTGGAGTCGGAATTCGGACCCGAAGGTGATCGGCCCGGGCCAACGGAGCCAGGTCCGGCTGCCGTACCTGTGCTGGACATACTTCCGCTCCGTATGGATTCTCTATCGAAGGCGGCGGAATAATTGCTATTGGGCGGCGAGCTCGTTCGAGTCGGGGGATCTGAAGACAGACTTTGGCGATGTCCAGGTGTGGTTGAGTGAAGACTGCTGATATGTTCATACATGTACTTTCCCATCGCTCGGGCCTTCAGCGAGGCTGGTTTCGTCGTTGCTAATGTCGTCGCTTCATCGTAAATGGCGTCGACGACGCTGAGAAGGTACTTCACATTGTCGAGTATCGAGGCCGTCGCCGGGTGGATGTGCAGAATCGTGGCGCAATCGGAGAAAGACGGGAGCGATCCGCTGCACGGTAGATGCGTAACCATGGGCGATAGGTTTGCCATGCGAAGGGGAACGTCCTTTATAGGGTCGACGAAGGCGTATGGCGTCGCCAAGACTCGACGTGTTGAGTTTGCCGCTCCTCCTGCTGTCGCTGACCCCGTCGACCGTTTGAACCCGCTTCCTCCGCCTTCAAGGTCGTCGTCCGAGGGCGACAGAGTCAGTAGTAGTGGGCTGTTTTCGTGGGCGAGGGATATGGAGACATCGTGACTGTGCATATGAGTCAGTTCAGAGGGAAGGTAAAGACGAGCCAGACGGGCATATCGTTTGTTGAAAGAGGATCCGTTCGCGAGTCAAACGAGTCAAGAGTCAAGGCCTAGAGCGAAAATAAGACCAGAGAGGGTCGGACGGACAAATGGAAACATGGTAAATAGGGCGGAAGATACTGCGTACGAGAAAAATATCGGAAAGGCAAAATAAAGGACGCAGCAACAATGCGGGAAGTAAAATATACAAAATGTACAGACATGCGATACACGAGTAGGAATGATAAGTGCATGACAAGGCAAATATCGACTATCAAAGGTATAATGAACAGTCGCAACAAGGTCAATCCAAATAACATGCAATAATTAAAACAATAGAAAAGCTCTACGCACACGATGGCGTTTTTCGCCAATAAGCCGTCCATGCCGAGTTGATTGAAGCCGCCTCGCACTCTGATCATATCTCGCAAGCCCATGAGGTGGTATCGTAGGTCCTGGTCCGACTCGCCCCAGTACCACTCAGCCACGGTAAGCTGGATGACGCCGGCGATGGCCGCATCGCCGGGCTTTTGTATTACCGGGGTGGTTGAACTGTTTGCGTCTGTTGCGGTGAGCACGGTGGTGTTTGACGCCCTGTTTTTGCTGCTGTCCGTAGTCAGGTTTTCGTTGAGCATAGCGATGGCTTGACCTTTGTAAGTCCGCAGGACATCTGTCCGAACATCCCCAGTCTCGTGGAGGAAGCAGGCTGAGGTATAGAGAATGATCCGCATCACTAGAGGATCTTGAAGGCAGAAGGGAGAGTACTGGCGTATAAAGGGATTGGTGGGGCTCGGGTCGCCATTGATCGAGGCTTTGAATCGCGAGAGAACTGCAATGTCTGTACTCGCACATCAGAACCATTTCTTTGGCGGCTCAAGGGCGATGTCCACGTACACAGTCTAAGCAATTTCTTGTTCAAGGGGCTTTGGTCCACAGGCAGAAGTGCTATTTGCTCGTCTATACCGCTAGCTGGTCGCTCCGGGAATAGTACCCTAGACTCTGCTGGATGTGACCAAGCTCCAGGACTCTGTCCATGCTGTGTAGTGTTGTCATCGCCATGGGCTGTTTCAAAGTTGTCGAAAATTAACTTTGGGACTGCTAGACGATGTGACAAGACTTGTTGTGATGCTTGGAAGATATCGGCATCTAGTATACTACGATCGGGATTGGCTAGTGGAAGCCACGAGACTGATGGCGGAAGACATTCTGCATCGGTGTTGAGGAGCTCTGTATCCAACCGTTGTGCGCCAGGCGTAGATTGACAAGTTGCCGGTTCCGAGCTGGGGCTTGAATGTGACGTCGAGAGGCCTGACACAGCCCAGCCGGCGATAGAAGGACTCCCAAGCGGTCTTGTTGCCTGAGACGTTTGTATCAGGGGAGAGCTTACTCCCGGTAGCGTTGAAAGAAGGGGACCACGACCTCCTGCTCTAGCTGGCGTCAGGAAAGTAGACGTTCCCGGTATGCGGCTGCTGTCGTATTAGATGATATACAAAATTGTGGTAGCAGCCATAGATTCGGCATGAGGGAACGGGAGCTAGGGCTTAGACTTACTTGCCCACGCGGTACTCGCAAACTGGTTGAGGAAAACGACGGAGGCAGTTGCTACATGGTTGACCTTGGTCGCACTGTATCTGAGTTAGTCATATGGTCCTTAGACACGAGGGCGCAAGACGAAGCGAAGACGTTTCTTTTGGGGTCCAGTGAGCGATCAGCCAATGCTCGATACCGGCAAGCAGTGTACACGGCCAAAGGAAAGAAGTCTCAAGTAGTCAGTGTACATGCCTTTTGCTTCCTCCGTCTGCACTCTCCGCAGGACGTTGTCGTCCTCTCGGCGCGTGCTGCGTTCCGTGACGCCCGCTGCTGCTGCGAGCCTTCGGACATCGTCTGAAAACGACACGAAGGCGGCGGCGGTGGCGTCTGCGTCTGCTGCTGCTGCTCCCCCTTTTCTCTTCCTCGGAGCATCCGTTCCTGAGGTGCTTGGTTTCTTGTTCCACCTTTCCAGCAGATAGATCGGCGGCGGCGGCGACACAGTATCAAACATGACGTGACTTTGGACCCGAGAATCTGGTCGAATTATTCCTGGTAAGGCTGACTTATAAACAAATCGGAGAAAAGACTGACAGGACATTGTCAAGGCCAGATCAAAGGAGAAAGGAGGCTTTGTCTGAGCTGCAGGTCGTCGGATTTTGACACATTTGGTCTAGCGTCATGGGGATACCTTCCTTGGATCGAGCTGGGCTGAGGAAAAGCCACAAACCAGCCCTCTGTTTCTTTCTTGGGCTTTGGTTGATGTGCACTAGCTTCCTCACTAGTGCGAGAGCCCAAACCTAGGAAGCAGTAGTTTGACGGTTCTAGGTTTTGCTCGCTGGGGGGGGAGAGAGAGAGAGAGCGTATATGGGCCAGTCGGTTCGATGGAATTTCCGTAGGACACTGGTGCATCAATGTCGACACATTGGATCGAGCATGGCAAGTTCCGGTCTCGATACATAAGAGACTGTAAATAATTGCTGTGCGAACAATATGCCCCGCTCAGCGCTTCCCATCGCTGCCACATATATCTCTGTACCGCGATCAAAAATTGCGGTAGATGCTTCCTTTTCGAACCGTTCATGGGCCGGATAATCAAGCCACTGGGCAACAGCTATCCTATCAGCCATACGCTGACCGCAGAAACGGCATAAGCTATGAAGCACAAGCGCCATCGTTGGCGACCTGTCATGCTCCGAGCTTTGTCAAAAAGAGACTGGACACATGTCCTTGTAATACCATGCCACTTGGGAGATAGAGTCGATGCGGCAATATGACGTCAAGTTTGAGGATGGAATTAGCCGGCGAAACATAGCGATAGCCTCAGACAGGCTTTCCAACGGCCCGCTTTCGGTGAAGCCCGAGGCGGACTCTCAATTTGAAGAATGCGGACCCAAAGAGCAGTCGATGGTTCGCCAGTGTGCGAAAAACGGTCGAGCAAGTTCGATGTGCCGAGATTCGTTACGAGCATACCCGGAAGCCTTCTCCATGCTGGGGAATGTGACGCCTACATTGTGACGAAACGATGCAGCCGCAATCAGGCAAGTGCGCTAGCACAAAACATGTGTATCCTAATTCGGACAGCTGAAGTGAGCCCACGATGCGTAGCTTCTGCTCAATCTCGCGGATTTAGAGACCTCAAACTTAATCGACGTCGCCAAAGGAACGAACTGCTCAGCTACAGCAGGAGCCAAGAAGGGCTAGGCCAGGCTTCTCACTAAGGCAGAGCTAGCGCCCCTTGGAATCTCCATCATTCAGTGAGGCGCCCTGTGGAATTCGTCAGCCCTGTCCGTGGCGTACTGAAAAAGCAAGAAGTGAGGGATGGATTTTCCGTAAAAACGTGTTCATTGAGACATGGATTCGTAAAACGTGCCTATAGAAACCCGCTGTCGGCCCCCAAATGTCTCGGTTGGCCTAGTCGAGGTAGCATTCCTGGGGGTTTCCCAATGCTTCGAAGACTCCATCTCATACCCACCTCATTCTTACTTTGGTCTGTGATGCGAACCGTGAGTAAGGTGGCAGGGAGGAACATACGAACATCAATGAGACATTGACATACCCCTCGTGGCTGCTCACATTTGCTTTCACGACGTTGGTACGGCGCCATGGGCGGCGAGCCTGATAAAAGCCTCGTTGGCTAGCTGAATGTCGTGCGGACGCCATTGTAGACGAGGTGGAGTAGGCAATAGATTCGAAGCTGCGTCGACGGCTGGAGCTTCGTTCTCGAACCCAAAATTTGAGCTCTTGTTTTGACAGCATCCGCAGCGAGATTTTTTAAAAGAATTGAAGTTCCAGTATGTCCAAACGAATCGAAGTAAGCAACTCAAACGGAAATACTGTGGGAGTAAGGACGTTTTGGCAAGCTCAGGGGAACGTGCCTTTTAAGCTTAAGGCAGGTTCGCGATCAGCAGGGCCCACTCGGTCGTGACGTAGTGGCCCACTAGCCGACCGAGTTCTCGGGTTCTCGCCACCGCCCAGAAAGCGGGAAGGTCCCGGGCATGGCAATAGGTCGCTTCCATGCTGCGCTGAGAAAATAAGTAGGCAGTGAGAGGAAATTGTCTAAGCGTGAAGATATGTCATTATTTCATTAAAAGAGCCGCTCGCTGTGCCACTACTGCACATGGCCAGTGGAATCGCATGCGTTGGAATGGTATCTGAACTAATAATCCCCCAAAACCTGATTCATTTTCCGAAAAGAACTCCCTTTTGCTATGTGCTCCTGAAGAAATAGAGCCTCATAAACCATCTTGATATCCGCTCCTCCGATGGTATCGCTGCGTTTCGAGTATTCTCACGTGGAGAAATACGGTATTCAATCGATCTTTCCTTCGTTTATCTCCCGCGGTAATCCGGCTTTCTAGCCATGTTCACTGGTGGAGGCTCGTCATCCACTGGATAGGGTAGAGGCGACGAGCCAACGGGACGGCGGCCGCCGGCTGCCTGGTGTTCTGGAAGTGGTGTCTTAGGAGGCAGCGGTGGGGGGATACGCTGTGGCTGCTGCGATTGCTGGACCGGACCGTTGCTGTAAGGCTGATTCTGCCATCGGGGATGTTCATCCGGGCTCACGATAGCAATCTTGTCAGCGCCTGCTGCGTAGCGATACTGCGCTGGAGTGGGCGCAGTGACAACAAGTCTGTCAACCTCATCGTCCTTTGCCGGGGGCAGAGGTCGTTGCTCGGGCCGTGGCGACGACGACGGTTGCAGTCGTTCGCCGGAACTCCTTGGAGAAGGACTCATTGGCGAAGGGATGTGCAAGTGCTCAGAGCCAGATTCGTAAGATTGACGGCTGGGCGGTGTGTTGTGTGGTGGCCATGAGGTAGGAATCTCGGCTGGCAATTCCACCGCAAACGACATTGGTTCAGTCGTCTCCGAGTTTGACTTAACCAGTTCAGGGACTTCTGGCAGGCGGGAGAACCTAATATTCGCTTTGTGAATCTTGGCCATCTTCGCAGAAGCACCTTGAATCATCTTCTGCTCGACTTCCCGCCTCAGGTATTGCCGTGTGCTCGTGCTGATTTCGGCCAGGCGATGCCATTCGTTCATACCAAACTCGCCGACGCCAACCTCCACATTAAGACGATAGTAGTTTTCGACGTTGACGTTCCGCTTCAACAAGTGCTCTTTCCTCATTTGCTCGTGGATCGCCTCGCATCCTTCAATCTTGGAGATAAGCTTCCGGCGAGCTTCCGCAAACTCTCCCAAGAAACCTTCGTACCACATCTGCGAGTTTGCATCACTTCCTTTGGGCCGTCTGCCGGTACCAACGCTGAGAAACACGCCAACTTCGCGACCAGGCCATTCGTTGACTACAGCTTCGTCAAGAGCCTCGGGGGAAGGATTGAAAGTGCCCCCACCGTCGTCGTGAAATACGGACTGCCCGATTTGAATGGGCTTGAAGGCTAGGCCGATTGCACATGTCGCTCGTCCAGCCTGCCAGATCTTGCAATCAAACTCTGGCGGAGGCTCTCTTCTCGAATCGTAGGACCGCAATACGGCCGCGGGGTTGCCCTTGCGGGAACCTTTGTACATTGCCAAGACGGCACTGAAAGAAGGAAAATGTCAGTTCAAAGCGCGTTGCTATGTGGGCATGCCTGACATGGTGCCGGCAGTCAGTAGGTAGAAACGTACGTCTTAGTCCTGTTCTCCCTTGCGTCGTAAAGTCTAGCGTTTGGGTCACCGTAACGCGAGTTGAAGGCAGGGCGTGCCATCTGAGCCTGGGGGCTACGTGCGCTGAAGCTGACAGTGCTGGCGTTGCTTGCATGCCTCCTAGGGTTTGAGGTGTTGTAGCCGCTGAGAGGGCTGAGTACATCGTTCTCGGTGCCGTCATTGCCCTCTTTCTGATACACTGTGTGTTCCCTCACTGCCTCCTTGATAGCCTCCTCGAGCTTGGAGGCCTTGAAGAGGGTTGAGCGGTAGGGAATGCCAGCGATGGTCTTGTCGGTCTCGAAGACCATGCGCGTTAACCGAACGTATAGCTCCTTGCACTGCTCTAGATCGAGGCGCAGTCGACCGAGCATTAGGGCTATAAGACCGCCGGTACCGGTTCCTACGATGAGGTCGAAATGATCACAAGGGCGAGGAATTTCGTTTCGCCGTGGGGCTCTTCCCTCGATCTCGACAAAGGTGCGGTGCATGAGTTCTTGGAGAATGATAAACATGGAGTAACCACGTACTCCTCCGCCATCTATCATAAAGCATGTTAGTTGACTGCATGAGCGCTTCCGGTCCAGTTTCGCATGTTTTGCGCGCGATTTGGGTGTCGCGAATGTGGCTGGTCTGCTTCACTTTTGCGTACCTAGAGACAGGATGCGTAGGGGAGGGCCCTTTGTGGTGTCCCTCCTCCTGACCCCATTGGAGTCCATGATTTGAGCAAGCTCTCGTGGATTAGCCGGCTTGGTCGCGATCCACCGGGGTTCTTGATCTTGGTGTGGGGTATTGGTTGTCGTTGTTGAGAAATGTCTGGTGGCGGTCGCAAAGTGTTTGTTTTCGCAAAGCAAAGTGGGTGTTGTTTTCTGCGAGAAGCGAGAATTAGGAATTTCGGAGAAGATGGACTAGTACTGTAGGTGCAAGTGTGTAAGTAGGTAATTAGTTTAGGCAAAGCAAGGCAAGGCGGGTAAGGCAAAGTGCAGATGGTAATAATCCACCGCCCACCTACGAATACAAGTACAAGGCCTGATCACGAGTGGGAGGGTGACGCAAAGAAACGGCTTGCGCCCTGCGCCATCCACTCGGATAGGGTCTTGGCCAACCCTGTCACTTGCCCACTTTGTGGAGGAGAGACTCACCACTTGTGGTCACTCTACCGATGACTAGCAGGATGTTGTCACATTCGCAGCTTGTGCTGAAAGATGCGCGAAAGTCTGAAGATGGTCGGCTGGTAGCGATTGCGATGGCGATGGCGATGGCGGCGGGGAGACAAAACACCCCAGCGAGAACCTGTATTCGACCTGAAAGCCCGCGACTGCGTGTGACGCCACAGTAGCTAATTTAGAAATGGCCCAGGGTATTTTAGCGACTTGGGAATGGGCACGAATGGAAGGCCGCCGTTGCTCCTAGGCCCGGTGTCTTGGCTCCCTCCCCTTGTGGTGTCAGCGAGTGGGAGGCGGGAGTGAGATCCAACTAGGTCAAGATCTTCTCTTTAATGAGGCGCTGAGGGGTACCTGGACCGTAGAGCTCCGACGTAGGTGCGTTTTTGAAACACGGCGAAGGCAAGATAAGAGGAAGGGGATATTTCTCTTCCTCTCGATTTCTGTTCGAACTGAGGTTGTGAGGGCGCCGACGAGAAGTGAAAAAGGAATCGGGAGCACCGGCAAGAGAATGTGGTAAGAGGCGAATAATAAAGTGGGAGATGGAAAGAGCAATTAGGTGGTGGGATGGAAGGTGCAAGATACCCCTCCTGTGTACCTGCCTCGGGACGACGGGATGGGATGGTCGGATGGACGTTTGCTCCTTCTTTCCGCTGCCGTTTCTGTGTCATTCTTTCTCATTTATCAGAGGGAGCGAACGGCCAAGCTCACGTTCTCTTCACAAACACGAGAGTACCGTAGGTATGTGCTGCACCTTAAGGTAAGTGAGATAAGCCCAAGTTTCCGAAAGACGACATTGCCTATTGTTCACATACTCACCTGTCACTTACGAGTATCCTATCCAAGTCTTCACACAGTCAGTCGTTCTACCTTAGGTCTCCCGGTACATGCCGAAGATGGCACCCCAAGACGATTCAGACAAATCAAGACTCCTACAGACGCGACAGATACCCCGAGGCAGGTCGCGAGGCAGATACACGGCTCGATATGCTAGCAAGTTACAGCAGCACAGCAGTCTCGCAACCAGTACGGATACCTTGCCTGTCTATACTGTAGCCGAAACGAAACCGCAGGGACGCAAATTGTTTCCCACTCCACGCAATCCCGTATACTCGCGAACCCCGCCCAATCGCGGCCTTTGAAACCGACCGTCCGCCCACGACTCTCCCGGGACCTGCGACTTTGGGGGCCTTCCATTAGGCTTTGAGGCCATGTCCCTTGCTGGAGGATCCCGGGAACCTGCACTAGAGCCAGAACCATCCTCGAACCTCTCTTTTCGCGACAACTCCAATCGAGGCCATCAAACCTACACTGGCGAGTACCCACGCGGCAGCGCCGCAGCAGTTCATGGGTGCGGATACTGCCTCTGCCGCAGTGCCGTCTGCCCTGACAGATGCTCCGCTCTCTCGAGATGGTCCCTTCAAAGGAACCAAAGACCTCAAAGTCACAGGTTCCGAGCGGAGGCCGAGGCCAAGAAACCCTCAACAATCTTCTACTACCCATGGTTTGAGGTGCGGAAGTACCCCACCAGATCTTCGGCCACTTTGGGCCCGAATGACATGCCCGTGCTGCCACGGCCTTGGCTTGTTTCTGACCTTAGGAGAGAGAGCAGTAGCCCAATCTTCTCCGCGTCTGAGTAACTGCTTAGTCGCCTTGTCCCGTGTATACTCATTCGAGGCCCCTTTTTTGCTGAAGCCAGTCTTTTGAGATTTTACCATTTGGCTTGGCTGCGAAACATACGATATACTGCATTCCTCACTTGCAGCCAAGCAGCAGCTGTCACAAGAACTCGCCAGCAGTATCCCAGTGCCTACTGCGTAGGTATTCCCAGTGCCCACACTCGCTAATGACGCGGACAGGGGACCCCTTCGGATGACCACACCCATACGTCAGCAGTGCCATCAGCTTTCAGCTTTGCATGTGCCGCCTGGCCGCGCTAGCTTCCACCTCAAGCGTTAAGGAAACCCACTGGTCCAAGGTCTTGATTGGCCATGGTGTTTTCTTCTTACCAAACTAGAAGCTCGAAGCCTCTTTCCCGCGTGGCTGTGCAAGGCTTGGACGAGTTCTCAACTCTCTCACTCGTCAATCTTTTTCCTGGAGTTTTCTAACTTCACTGTTCAGAGCCTTTGTCGCCACTTGGAAGCGCTCGCGTGACAAAAGACGGTTCTCCTGGTTGTCGATTCCTGGAACGGTCCTGAATAGTGCTTCTTGGCAATAGAATCCCAATCCGCTCATTTGCTGGGTTTAGTTCATAGAGGTACGAGAGGCAAGACTTCACCAGCCCGATGGGAAAGTTGGTCAACACCTCTTTGGAGGCCCATTCATGCCCGACTTGTTAGGTCCATTCCAGGCGGCCCGCACCCCGAACACCGTGATCCTTGACCGGGCCTTCCGTGCCGTATCAAGGGTTCGCGTTCTCCTCTCGTCCTTTGTGTCCGCCACCGTGCCACCGTGTATCTTTCCAGACGCGGACTCTTACTTCGGTCATCATGGTGAGAAAATGTTCCCTTTCATCCGACTTGGCAACGGGAGATGCGGGCTCATGGCAACTTGACTACCTCAACCAAATGACGGGCGTCATCCGTGTCTCCAAGCTCCTTCTTTGGGACAATGTCGTCAACCGGTTGTTCATTACGACCCAGGCACGCCAGCGGCGAAACCATGATGGAGTAAAAGGTCCCATCATCCCAGGAGATTTTGGGACCAGCGTACTGTTCATCACATTCGGCGTTTCTCTCCCAACAGTGAAGAGGAGACTGGGAGAACCCGGAGAAAACGGATCGGCAAACACCGGCTGCCTCCTTGCCCGGGACCCACTCATCGGCTCGGGGCAAGCCGCGCCCGGAGCTCCCGCAACTGTCGACTCCAGCACTGTTTCCACTGACCCAGGTCGGTAGCGAAGTGAACGGGCAGATGCATGCTGGAGAAGTATTAAACCTTCAACATGTCATCAAGCCGCAAACATGTTCTCTATCGAGTCTATAGCCAAGGCCATACCCAGCCTGTACTTCATATTGGGAAACAATCCCTCATGTCTGGAACAAACACGTTTATATATTACTTACTGGACTGAGGTGATGGGCCGGACAAGTCAATACTGCGTGTGTAAGAAGGGTAACTTGTAAGTGAGATTTACGTCAATTCGTCCGAGCCTTGCCGCCGTAATTGCGATGGTCACGGGCGCGGATGATGAGATGAATCCTATTTTCACCGTGCTTTTGCGACTTCGTTGCGCTGCTGGCATTGCTTGACAGCCTGGACTTGGCTACAAGCGGATTTTAATGTTGCATGATCCCGCGCGTGTATAAGCTCCCAGCCTTCGACAGCTGTGTTCCCTGTTACCAGGGAAACCCCTCCATTCAGATCATCTTTGCCGCCTACCGAGACCAGGCATGCATTTGGTGGCACAAGACCAATCTGCTTGGGCTTTTTGGTACATGCACGGCAGTATCAAGAAGCAGTTCTTATGGTAGTCAGGTAGCTTGGAAGTCCATGGGTAGCAGAGTATATATAGGTAGATAGCCTGAGTTTTTGGTCGCGGGGAAATGTGTTACACGGTGTGGATGTCCTCCACAAACGCGGAGGCGGACGATGAGGCCCAATAGCGCAACGCGTGGGCTGGGAAGCGTAGCTGACGGAGCAAAACAGCCGATAGGAGGGCGGATGCACTGGAAGCTTCTGAGACTCGATCGTGCAAGCTCAATTGGCCAGCAGCGAAGGAGGATGGAGTGAGGAAGGTGAAAAGGGTCTGATGTGGTGGGACTAGAGGCTTGCAGCCACGCCTTTCCGACGCGGGTAGAAAGTGTAAGTTGAGAATCAGCCAAGCAGAAGGAGTTCTGTCTTTCGCCATTGTTATGCTACCATGCTGCCACGCTGCCCAGTCTGTCGGTCAACCCAAGCCAGGACTTGACAGATTCTCTCTGGCGGACGTCGCGGCGCTGCGGTGTTATTCGCCGGTCGGCCGTCAGACTACATTAGCCGACCTGACTGGGCTGCCACGCCTCGTGTGTGGAGGCGGTAGCACCGATTGGTATTGTGCAGCAGTGGTCGACGAGACACAGACAGACGGATAGACAGATCTGGATGGGCATGAATCCAATAATGATAAGGGATGGGATGTGCGATGGATGACAGGTGGCAGGTGCTGTGACCAGGCCAGCTCAGGTCCATAAACACACTCAACGTCAAAAGTCAATTGTCTCAAAGCTGTATCCGTCTGTGCTAAGCGCCATTATTTCTTTGCCAGGCTTCGTGACCTTGAAATCACACAACCAAAGCTCAGGATGACCTTGAGGAACTGCGGGAACTGGGCGTGAGTGAGTGATGGGAGTGAGATGTGAGGGAACGGACTGGCGTGGCCTTGGACGTCCGAGGCATGCCCAACGGAGCTGCCTTGCAGCACAAGGTTGTACAGGTGGCACCAGTAAATGGCAGTGATTCAGGCAGCGTGCATGAGAGAGACCAGTTATCAGGTCTTTTTGGACGCCTAGCAGCACGGCAAAGGCGTGAGGAGGGAGGGGCGGTCGAGGCAGCGGCGGCGGCGGAATGAGGGGCACACACACATTACATAGTACACATACCGGGCAGACACCACACCTCACACACGCGAGGTAGTATACTCAGCCCAGTCAATCTGCATGAGCTGTATACTCTTACCTTACAGGTTGCCCAAGGACGTACATGGAGGACGAGTGACGGGGATGTTTGATGTCTGCGCGAGGTGAGAAAAGTGGCCGCCATGGTTTTGAGATTGGCGGGATTACCAGATTGGATTGAGCCGAGATTGGACAAGACAGAACAGGATTCAGCCAGGAAAAGAGAACGAAGCCAGTGTAAGCAGGGAGAAAGGAAACCCGCGCTTCATGACATGATGAGGGGAGTGGTTGAGTTAGGTGCATTTGTGTGTCGGAGCGAAGTAAGTCACCGCCGGCGCAAGGTGAAGAAGGAAGGAAGCTCCAGTGTGCTCCACTCTCACTTCTGCCCGCCTTGCTGCACGGACCACTAGAGAGTACCTGGTGAGCTTTGATTGGCCCGTTGCAGAAGAGGCAGGATCGCCCCAGAGCCTTTCCACCTCTTTCCTGCCTTTCTCCCGCAACGAGGCTGTACGTAGACGTCCTCGGTACTTCTTCTGACCCCCCCAATTATCACTGCCCACGACAATTCAGCCATCGCCCAATTCCTCCAGTGCTTGCCTTCCAAACCCCCCCCCCTCCATTGAGCGCCTCCATGATCATAACGCAACTCAATCCCAACCCGCGTTTGTACAAATTGTCTTCCCATTGACATCTGTAGATGGAACAACCCCAGCCATCCAAGAAGCGGCGGCTTATGCCAAAGGAGTCGCCGTCAAATCACACCACACAGCCGGCTCCTTTCCCCCATGAATCGGTGAGGATTCTATTCTGCGCTCCCGTAGCTTGATTTGAGCTGCTGGAATTAACCTTCTTTTGAACCCATTCAGCCTCAGCAGCACCCAACCCAGGAGGCCCCTCCAGCCGAACGCCATGACTTCGAATCCTTCGCGAGACATCTTCAAGATGCTGCCATGCTGATCCAGCGCCAAACCGAGCGCGCACCCTACGATAGCGTTTCTGTGCTTCTACTGCGCTGGGAGGAGGATACCTCGGTTGAGGCCGATCTGACGGCTTTGGAAAATATACTGCGAGACCGATACAACTACCAGACAAATCGATGGGCCATCCCGACCGTACCCAACCCCAGCATCAAGCTTGGGGTCCAGATGGCCTCCTTTCTCGAACATGCCCGGCCAAATCACTTGTTGATCATCTACTACGCCGGCTATGCATATGTTGGATCGGATAACCAGCTCTACTGGGCCTGGTGAGTCGAGAATCTACTGCGAAAACACGTCTCCGCACCCTTCTGACCGCCCTTCCATAGCAATACGCGAGAAGATGCTGCGAAGCTCAAGTGGGATGGAGTACGCTGCCTGTTCGAAGACGCCCAGTCCGATATTTTGCTGTTGCTCGACGCCTGCTCCGTTCGTGATATACCCGTGTCTGGAAGCCATGGCACCAAACAAGCCATTGCAGCTGGCGGCCCTGAGCAAAATCCCAGAGAGGCTGCGGGCAAGTCCTTCACATATCACTTGATTGAAGCTTTGCACAAGTTGAGTATCGCTGGTAGACCGTTCAGTGTACCGAGGCTACACGAGGAGATTGTCCAGCTGAGGCAGCAGGAAACCGCGCAAGCAGCTAAACTCACAAACGGTGCCAGCAAAACTCCGCCACCATCATCACCACAACTTCCCATCTGCTTCACCCTGACACCTGGAAAAGGTCAAAGTCTGAGCTTAGCTCCCTTGCCTGCTCGGGCGGGACAACAGCAATCGCCGCGCAACGGGGCTGATGGGGAATCACTGTCGAGGGCTGTGCGCGAAGACCAGCTCATTGATCCTGAGTCTGTTGCTGATTTACGTTTCGATGAGCCACGAGTACTTGTGTGTACCACATTCGTTGGAGATGCCAGTCCAGACATGTCTTTCTTCAATGGCTGGCTTCACAACACACCGCCCCTGGCTGCCAAGATTGAGGTCGAGGGGATGTTTCTCGGACCGCCCACCATGCTTCTGATATCAATGCCCCATTCAATATGGAACGTCGTACAGCACGATAAAGTCTGCTGCTTCCTGGGATATATCACGTCGCATAACATGATTCACCTGTACCAGAAGCTCAAGGGCTCTGCCGGGATTCCCAAAGTTACGGCGAAGGAAGTCGAGGACGGACGCATCTTGTTGGAAGCGCGAGAGCTGGCGGCAAGTACGCCATCCATGCGCCAGCGCTCATTAGACAGCAAAGACGCATCTTTCCACGAGACGGCGAATCGCATCGAAACCACGCCGTCCAGCGTGCCGTTTGCAGCGGCTGCCGCTGCCTCCGCAGTTGTTGATGGCAAAGACGATGTTGAGGACTCGGCCGAGATGCAGGAAGCGGCAGAACAGCTCAAAGCTCTTAGTCATGTCCGCCACTTGAGCGATGAAGCACCGCCGGCCGTAGAGCGGCAACGTACGACTCTACCGGATGGAGCGATGCCTGCAAATCACGAGGATACTGGGTCTTCTCACGATGCAAATGAGTCTGGTGCAGATGACACGATGCATTCGATTGACATGAGTACACCCAATGCGAAGGCCAAGCATCGACGATCCTTGCAGAAAGCGACGCCGAAGCAAGAGACGAGGTGCACGTTATGTACTCACGCTCCTTTTAAGGATTCGTCGTCGCTTCGCAAACACATTGCTGCCGCGCATACAAGGCCATTCCCTTGTGCATTCTCTTTCGCAGGCTGTACGAGCACATTTGGCTCGAAGAATGAGTGGAAGCGTCATATTGCTTCCCAACATCTCTGCTTGCAATACTATCGGTGCTCGTCTTGCCCGCAGAGCACAGTTGAGGGCAAGGGCAACGAGTTCAACCGAAAAGATCTTTTCACCCAACATCTTCGTCGCATGCATGCGCCTTTCGCGATCAAGAAAGCCATTGCCAAAGGAGATAGTAAACTGCAAGTCGAGTGGGAGGGTCACGTCAAGGAGATGCAGACTACTTGCCTCGTCACACGCCGGTCGCCGCCTCAGAGGTCGGCATGTCCCAAATCAGATTGCCAAGTCGTTTTTGAAGGGCCTGGTTCTTGGGACGAATGGACCGAACATGTCGGCAGGCATATGGAGAAGGGCGAGGGCCAGCGACTCGGTGTTGATCGGTTGCTGGCAAAGTGGGCTTTTGAAGAGGGTATCATCGAGCGAAAAGACGATGGTGAGTATCGTCTTTGTGCCGGGAATGGCCCCGGCACTGGTGGTGGCCCCATCGGCGGAGATTCAAAAGACTCGATATCGGTGGCATACCCTGAACCGAAATTGGATGTTGAAGAAACAACCGAGACCAAGGACACTGCCGAGGACAAGATGGAAGTGGATGGCTAGCGTGTGAAAACGGAAACTGGTGCGGGCGTTGCGGATTTTTTCCTTCGACCTTATATACTATGGCGTCATCAACGATTGGAAGGAGTTTATCGGGTACGACTGACATGAGACACATGAACGACTTTCATTCTCCTTGATCACATTTCGCATCTTACTGGCTCAGAGCTCGCCTGCTTAGCGATGATGGAGTAGCCAGTCTCGTTGGGTTCGTGTTGCTAGCACCAAATGTGGGAAAAGAATAGGGAATCAAGAGAACAAAAGGGCAGACAAGACCTTAGCCAAAACAAAAGGAACCATTTTGAAGATCAATGCACCGTGCCTGTATGATCCCCTGGTCCCCCGTTTTCTCTACAACCGTATCAGCTCTGCTGGTCGTCTGATCTTTTCCAGCCCAGCTTTTGCAGAGCGGGCCAGCCGAGAGCTTGGCCAAGGGAGAGGGAAGTCCGGGGAAGAGAACTCTGCTTGTCCATGTTGATCCGTCCGCGTGGTGGTGTTGCATATCACCAAACCAAGCTTTTGAGAGCCCCTCGGAGCGGGCCCGGTACTTGCCCGGTAGTTCGAAGCCCTCAGTGCTTTACCTGAACTCGATTCCTGTAGATCCGCCGATGCCCGATGCACATCGGCGCGCCTGGTTTGGCGTTGCAGTCAAGATGCGGGGAAACTAGCTTGCCCCTGGGCCTTGAATCGTCTTACTTACCAGTGCCGCTACGTAATTATTCCCAGGGCACCCGTCGGGCACGGAAGCTGATTGAGAAAGGTGTGCCTTCCCGATGGAGACGCTGATGGTTGAGCACATGACAATGATATTGAATAGTGACATGAACCAGCTCTGTTCGCGCCCCCCCTCTTCCCTTTCTCTCGGTCCGAACTGGAGCTTGGAGTTTGGAGGCGCTGAGTGACGATTGGAAGGATTTGTTAATTTTCCGGCCGAGTTAGCCGCTTTCAGTATCGTTAACTTGATCGTAACGGCGCCCGCCCCCCGCCGGCGTGGAGAAAACGGGGACCGGGACACGAGGGGGGACTATGCCATAGTAGGCTGGAGCAAAGCTTGAGAAAGCTTAGTAAAGCTTAACCAAGGCTTTACTGAGATGCGCTCGAATACACGGTATTTGATTGACATGGGGATCCCGGAGCCGGCGGGGGGTGGGAGTGAGGTTGGGTGGGTTGTATTCGATACTATGAATAATTTGGGACTGGACAATCGCGTTGTGATGGTTCACGGATGGGGCTGGGGATTGATGTGTCCCGGAAGGAACGGACGATATGGAGGGAGGTTGAGGGCAAAGTATATGAAGACCGGGAGATGGCCATGATCTCGGGGTGTTTTTGTTTTTTTGGCTCCTTGTGTCTGTTGGTGAATCCTCAAGCCATTGAATTGGTACACAAGCTCTTACACACTTTGGCTTGACGAGCACTGAGTGCCTTCACGATGCGTCTGTTCAACGGTCTCGCCTCGCTGCTTGCGGGCGCCGGCCTCGCGCAGGCTACGCTCCAAATCGTCTCCGGCGGGACATGGTCAGCGGTAAGAAACGAACGCTCCCCCTTCCACTCCATCATTTTTCCTTCCCTCGGCTCCAAGTTCACAGCAAGAGGATCACCCAGCTAACTCCTTTGGATGATACCTTTCAGACCAACACAGGCCGCCACATCCAAGCCCACGGCGCAGGCGTGACAAAAGTAGGCTCGACGTACTACCTCATAGGCGAAGACAAGACCGAAGGGTCGGCCTTCCAAAACATCAACTGCTACTCCTCGACCAATCTCGTCGAGTGGACCTACGTCGGCGCCCTGCTCTCGCGCACCACGGCGGCGGGCGACCTGGGGCCCTCCCGGGTCGTCGAGCGTCCCAAGGTGATTTACAACAGCGCGACGAAGAAGTACGTCATGTACATGCACATTGATAGCAGCAACTACGGCGAGGCCAAAGTCGGCGTCGCGACGAGCGATACGGTGTGCGGCAAGTACACGTACCTCAGCAGCTGGCAGCCTTTGGGGTTCCAGAGTCGTGATATTGGGTTGTATCAGGATGATGATGGGTCTGCGTATCTGTTGACTGAGGATGTAAGTGCTGAGATCCCCTATTGGGTTCCCTGTTGCTGTTCTCTTGATTCGATACTAACAGAAACTCAACAGCGACCTAATGGTCTCCGAATCGATGCCCTGAGCTCGGATTACCTCAATGTCACGCGCAACGTCTACCTCTGGTCCGAGAACATCGAGGCCCCCGCCATCTGGAAGAAGAACGGATACTACTTTATGTTTGGAAGCAGACTCACCGGCTGGGACCCGAACGACAACGTAACGTCCCCCCCCCCCCCCCCGGGGTAAACCACGTTCAAACAGAAACTGACATACTCTCCTTCAAGGTCTACTCCTACGCAACCTCCCTCGCAGGTCCCTGGTCATCCTGGGCGACCTTCGCCACCGTCGGCTCAAAGACGTACACCAGCCAGACGACCTACATCCTGCCCCTGGGCGACACGGCAATCTACATGGGCGACCGCTGGGTCAGCACGAACCTCATGCGGAGCACCTACGTCTGGCTGCCCCTCGCCATCTCGGGCACCACAATCACCCTCGCCGACCGCGTCAACTGGACGCCCAACGTCGCCGCGGGCACCTGGGCCGCGGGGCCTAGCGAGACGTCGCACGAGGGCGAGACCGCGACGCTCGCGGGCGGCGCCAAGAGCGTCGCGTGCACGGGGTGCAGCGGGTCCGCGGCGGCGGGCTACGTCGGGGGTTCGGCCGGCGGGAGCGTGACCTTCTCCGGGGTGAGCGTGCAGGCTTCCGGCAAGACGACGGTGCGGGTGAAGCATCTGAATGGTGATACGAGCCAGCGATGGGGCACGGTAACGTGCAACGGCGTCTCGCAGACTGTTGGCTTCCTGCCGACTGCTGATGGGAACACGCCGGGGAGCAGCTCCGTGTTCTGCAGCCTCACTGCTGGGTCTGCCAACACCATCAAGATTGCCAGCTCGGATTCGTCGTGGGTTGCTGATATCGACCGCATTTTCGTGCCGGTGAATTAGGGATAGTGTCACAAAGGGGGTGGAAGACATCATGAGGACATGTATAGGCTTAGTGATATTCACACAATAAGTATATATACGAAGAAAAGTAGAGACACCACACTGCATACAGGTGACCCATCATCCATCTTAGTTGAGCTCGATCACGAAAGGTCCAGTCAAGGCATACTCGACAGCAACCGTCTTAACGGTCTCCTGTCTCTTCGCCGTCGTGCCCCCACTGAGAAGAGTAACCTTGGACACCTTGAGCGGCGTCGAGTACCCGAATTCACCATCCACGGAAACTTTTCCGTCCTTGTAATCAAATGTGACGAGCGTGATACCCGCCTGTACCTCACTGACACCATCGTCAAGGTAGAGCTGGCCCTTTGCAGTGCCATCCCTGCCAGCCGCGATCAAGAGCTCAAAGTTCTCCTCGCGCAGCTGCTTCGTCGTCATGGTGCTGTTCGCGCGCAGAGGCAACACGGTGCCGCCGCGGATGAAGAGCGGGATCGTGGTGTAGTCCTTGTCTGTCAGGGAAACCGTGGCACCGGTGCCCTGGATAGCCTCGTGGGTGTACCAGTCGTAGAAGACGTCGTCGGGGAGATAGACATCAACTGAAGTCGAGTTTTCTTCCGTCACGGGCGCGACAAGAATGGCGTCACCGTAGAAGTATTGGAGGTCCAGACCGAACGTTTTCTCGTCCTTCGGGTAGAGGTAGAAGAGCGGGTTGATGAGCGGAGTTCCATCCTTGGTCTGCTGGTACAGCGCAGTGTAGATGTAGTCAAGCAGGCGGTAGCGGATGGCGATGGCCTTGCGAGCGCTGTCAGCCACGGTGTCCCAGCGGTAAAACTCCTGCGAGATGCTGTCGATGGAGTTATGGTTACGATAGAATGAAGAGAAGGCGGCGAGGGCGGCCCAGCGCGCGCAGAGCTGCTCGTTGGTGTTGTCGCCGAAGCCGCAAGCATCGGAGCCGACCATGGGAACCTGGTAGACGGCAGCAAACTGCATGAGCTGGGAGATGGAGACGCGATACTGTTGCCAGTTGGAAAGATTGTCGCCGAGCCAGTGGCCTACGTGCTTTCCGACGCCGGCGAATGTGGAGCGCGTGATAATGAGGGGGCGAAGACCTGGGCGGCGGGCTTCCATGGCAACTCGGGAGGCGGAGGACATCATGGAGCCGTAAAGATTATGGGTATCGTACATGGCGAGACCGTTCTGGTGGATCACATCCGTGTTTACGGTCTTGTTGGAGATACCACCACGGGCTGCGTTTGACTCGGTGTCCCAAGCGGCCTTGTTGTGGATGGCGTACTTGGGGAAGAGAAGATCACGGTCGGGCAGGCCCTTCTGATCACCGGATGATTGTCTCTCAGCGAGTATCAAGTTGTCGAACGTCTGTCCGGCGGGTACCATCCTAGGCGACATCTGCTTCCGGACGAGAACGTCGGATCGCTTGGTCTGGTTATTACCGCAGTCGGTTCCAGGAGGTTGGAAATCGCAAGGCCAGCCAGGTAGAGGTCTGGGGTTCTCGCGGACGGCTGGTGGCTCGGGAGGGAATCCAACAGCGGAACCGTAAGGATCGTCGCAGGGGAAGTAGCAAGGGAAGTTTGACGGCTCGTTCATGTCGATCCAGAGGGCATCAATGTCGACTCCCTTGTCGGCCGAAAAGAATTGAGCAAACTCGTTGTTCCAGAAGGAAGTGATGTTCTCTGCGAAGAAATCAGGGAATACAGTAACACCAGGCCAGACGACGCCAATCCAGACGGAACCGTTGCTACGGAGAAGCCAGATGTTGTCGTCAATGCCGCGTTGTAGGGTGGGTGATTCGACGTAGGCCACTGCAGGGTCTACCATGACGATATAGTGCTGATCATTTTCGTGAAGCTTGTCGACAAGCTGACGAACCTTGGCCAAGGGGTAACGCTCGGGATCAAGAGAGAACACCCTACGGGTTATTAGCCTACTTGAAGCAGTATGTAGCGGGCTAATTATCGCTTACCTTCGCCTGTCCATGTAATCAATGTCAGTCCACATGGTCTCGAGGGGAATCTTGGCGATGCTGTAGTTGTAGACAACCTCAGCAACGTCAAAGACGTCGCGGTATCCGTAACGGCACTGGTGGAAACCGAGACCCCAGTATGGCATCATGGCTGGCAGGCCGGTAATTTGAGCGTATTGCTGGGCCACCTCGATGGGAGAAGGTCCCGAAACAAAGTAGAAGTCGAGGACTCCGCCGAGAGTGTTGTACTGGAGATACTGTCCAGAGTCCTCCGTCTTATTGATGAAGACGTCCATGCCGTTGGAGTTCAAGAAGAAGACTCCGTGTGTGCCATTCTTGCGATGCTCATAGTAGACAGGGTGATTGCCGTACAAGTTGGCACCAGAGGGAATGCCGTACGAATCCTGAGACCACAACGTGCGGATGTAGTCAGTCGTGTTCAGTCGGAAGGGGTCCGAATGCTCGCCGAGACCGTACAGGTTGGGGTTCTCGGGCAGCTTGGTCCGGAGGCGGAGGTACTGGCTTTCAAAGACGATATTGGCTCCAGAAGTGTCGAAGAGAACCTCGCCCGTGTCGGAACGGCTCACGCTGAAGGAAAAGGGATTCTCGGTGTAGTTGAATTGCAGCTTAGACTCGGCGATGGTCAAGCTAGTGGCCTCGGGCCGGGGAAACACAGAGTTGGGGATCTGGTACACCTGGTTTGCGGCATCCTGGATCTTGACGTGGAGACGGGTACCTGCAGTATGTTTGAGCAGCGGTTCGCAGGGCATAGGGGTGACATGGGATGGCTGTAAAGAAATTGAGCAACTCACCAGTCTGATACTCGACAGTCAGAGTCAAGGCTGTCAGGTCGGTTCCGTATGCATTGCATGCTTCTCCGGCCAACGACAAGTCCGCTGTCAATCCAGTCGAGGACAGCTGGACGTTGGAAGCCTTGTAGCCCGGGCATGCCGAGAGTGCGTCGTCGCTAGGATAGTCTCTGCGGATCACAGCAGCGGAAGCTACTGCGCTGAGTAGTCCGAACACAGAAAGCTTTCTCGCCATGTTGACAAGCTTGGCAGAGTATGGGCAAACGGGGCGAGAGAAGCTTGGACAACAGCTCACGACATGGCTCGGTGGCGGACTTTATAGTTGGTGTCGCTTTGCAGATCAAAGGACCTGGTTATGCATCGTTACATTGGCTGAGAGTGTAAGTTGGGATACGCGACCCCGCTAGAAGGCGGCAACGGACGTCTCCTGCTCTCCAACCGTTCATCCCGAAAGCTCCTAGGTCCCCATTACCTAATTGGGCTTTCACGCAAATGTTTTTATTTTTATTTTTTTAGGCGACTTTGCGGATGGCCCGTGATAGGTGCAGGGCCAGAGCATGAACGTCATCCAGTCTTTCATCTGCAGCGTCCGGAGGTCCCTGGGGGTGCCTGGTCCATGTCGTATTCTCCTGGCGCGTAGCTCGCCAAGGTTCGGGACCGCTCATTTGCGGCTAGAAGTCTATTTGATTGAATGGTGCGAGCGAGTAATGGAGCGAGGTAAGGCCGTGTCTACCAGTCTGAACAGCAGAACAAAAATGAACAAAAATGAACAATACAGGAGATGTGCGGTATGAGAAGGTCACGCTGTTCATTCCTCGTCCTTGGAATCGACTTCCCCGCAGTCTGTCGGCTTTGCAGTTGGAAGCTACGGGACTTTGGGGGGGGGGGATGATGATGTGCATCTGCGCCGACTGCAGCGGGGGACAAGAGTGAGATGGAGAAAACGCATGATGCTAGAGCGGCGCTAGTGTAAGCTTGCCCGGTGCAAGGGTAGCTTTCTGCATGGATGAGCTGTCATTGGTGGTGTCTAGGGGATGGAGGGGGGTTGAAACAAGACTATGAAAGCGAGAGAACTGATCTAATCTTTTCTGTTCATGTTTCGTTTGTTTCTACAGTACGCATAGCAGTGGCTTCTGGATTTTTAGCATGGGATAGGACAAGGCCGGCGGGATGGGGTGCCCAACGGCCCGAATGGGTGGCTTGACCGGATGGCGGGGAAGCTGGAGGCCCCGCATCACCCCGCACCCGCTAAACAACCGGTGGCCCCCCGGTAAACCTGGTCTGGCGGCGGAGTCTCCGCAAGCTCACCATCTGATGTCTCTACTTCCTGACTTCTTCCCCGTCTTTCTCCGCCTGTTAGTGTCTGGAGTTGCTTCAACTGCTCGCTTCGGCCCTGCTTCTCCCCCGATTCAAGGCTTAGAGCCGGCAGCACTCAAGACTGTAATCGGCCGAGATGAGCATGGCCTCGGCCATATTGTCGGGAGGATCTGATGTGCCAAGCGGATGTAACTCCGATGGGTTAGGATGGAGAAGTAACCCAAGGTAGAATGGAGATCAACATTCATCGCGGATTCCAACTACTTCTCTTTAGTTTCAATAACGGATAACTTCGTCATGCTTTACTGTAAACAGTAGGCTCCCTCCTTTCTACTACTCTTACCGCTTTTATTGAAAACATCCCCGGTTGCCTTGGGACGGAGATCTTTATAGTCAAGTACTAGAAACTTGAAATGACCAGCTGCCTGCCATGGCTGGGCAAAAGAAACATGAATCGAGTAAGAATACAACATCGAAGTCGCTTCTTCACTTCTTTTACATAGCATCATTGATCTATATGCTTAGGCATCTCTCTAATATTCATTCATTAGAACCTACAAAGAACCCTCTGGTTTATGTGGAAACCAGCTTGAAATCATTCTCTTATCTCTTCCCATCAAAGCCGTCATCACTGTCTTAACAAGCCACCTTCTCCCAAGACTGACAGTGATTCTACGTGACTCCAAGAAGTTATGAAACGTTTGAGAGACCCAAGATGCTGCAAGAGACTCAAGTCTTCTCAGGATGCACACTTCGTTCGAATCATCCGACTTCTACGGATAAGACGCCTCAGTAGTGTTACAGACAATCAAGACCGTCTCTTACAGGGCAGCCTAGGTAGTACGTAGACCACTGGGCCCATGCCGTGTGCTCTCGGATTACGGCAGGTAATTATTCGAAGGCCAATCTTGACGCCTAGACACCAATCTCGGTGTTCAAGAACTTGGGTCGTTGGGATTTTAGTTTATTTCAGGCACGTAAGTGCGTATAAAATCTCACACTTTGCACATATGAACTCGGATCATATGGCCCTCCCAGGCAGCGAGGCAGCCTGGATCGATGAATGCCTCCTATATTTCCCTAGTAACTAAGCTCCACGAGAAGATGACCTGTCTTCGCAAAGATTAAGGACCTCTCTGACTGCGCTTCATGACGAGAGCATCTGCCTCCATATAGACACACTGTAACAAATCTTCCCAGAGATTGCCCTACTCGGTCCCAAGATGAAGGCACCCGCCTCTATGAAGACGAACAATAACAGATCCTCCCGCAGCGAGTCCAAACCCCCAAACTGGACTCTACGAAAAGAGCACCCGCCTCCACAAACACAAACAGAATGAGGTTCCCCCGGGGCACATCTAACTGGGACCCACGACGAGGGCACCAGCTTCCACAAAGGTAAACAACAACAAATCTTTCTCGAGCATACCCAACCTTCTCTTTCCCTTCTTCCTCACCTCAAAGAAGCTGGGTCAAACCATCAACAACTTCCACCGTCAAAGGAAATCCATCCTTCGAGTAAGTTTGAGGTATATCTATTCCCATCAGCAAGCCTTTGATATTCTGACGAGAGTTTCTCAAGCAGCATAACTTCGACTGGCGATTGCTCGAGACCTTTCGACTGTTTGTGCCAGTACGCGAGTTCATGATACCTGGATGTCCTTCTAGGGAACGACTTCCTTCGCGTCTAGCTAGGCATCATTAAGCACCAGCAGTTATCTCTCTTATCCCTCTTCCTTGCCTCCTTACCCTGATGTTGATCGTGATTCTCGGCAACGCTTTGCTTGAGGATTGAGTATTTGTTTTTCTCGACAGAAGCCCCATCAAGTTGCTTGGCTGTCATCGAAGGACCTTCTACCAATCCTCGTCTGTGTTCATCTTCGACTTACCGAGCTTCCCGACTCTGAAGATCGATCAAGCCGAAATCATAGCCGGTAAGTTTCAGTTCGACTCACCCTTTACCTGGAGCTAACTGTTATTTAGCCAAAGCCCGTCCTCAAAGTCAACTTTGATCACGGATACCCCAGAGAATACGGGGCAAAATGGCATCTCGTGGCACTGATGAGAACGAGGGCCCTGGCGATGTTCGCCGCACTCATTCACCTGCGACTGGTCCCGTGGCCCAGGATCCCCTCGATGACTCTGGCTCTGACTCTGAGCTCGGCGAGTTGCCCAGTGATGAAGAAGAGGAGGACCTCTTTGGTTTTGGATCTCCGTCGGATGAGCTCAACGATTTTCCCGAGGACACAGAAGAGGACCTCTTTGGCCATCCAGAGGGCGCCGATGACCAAGAACTCACCGAGTCGCCTGAGGATACCGAAGAGGACCTGTCTGACTACCCTGAGGATGACGCCGAAGACCAACCCACTCGCGAGTATTACGAGCCTCTGCCCGCCCGCTTGGCTCGCGAGCACGACCGTTACCGTGTCAGAAAGAAGATTGTCCACAGCCCTGAGGACAAGCCCACAATGAAGTCAGTCCAGGGTTTTGATGGCGCTTACGACATGGAGCCTTCCGACAACTCTCAAGACCCGGCTGCGACCCCGAACAAGCCGGCTCATCATGCTGTGGAAACTCCGCGTACGGTCAAGGCTCTCCGTATCTCTGACGGAGCCCATGATGGAAAGGGCACTGGTGCGAAGAAGTCGGGTTCCGGTGTTGCCAAGGCCCTTGATTTCAATCCCAGCCCCAAGTACTACCTGGGTCTCGGCAAAAAGATGAAGGGTGACGCTAGCCCTGGGGTCGACTCTGCTATGGCCATCGACAAGCCCGACGTCGAGCGCGGCCCCTCGACTCCCCCTCTTGACCTCCGCTACGATGAGGAGGGCCACGTCCACCCGACTCCTGGTCGCCCTCGCAGCGTCAAGACAGCTCCCACGGTCATGTTCGCCGACACCGACGTCGAGGATAACTCGCCCTCCACTCGTCGTCAGAAGAATCGCGTCCGCATCGCATCAGCCTCGAAGTCCGTCCCGCTGGAGCGTCCCTCGGTTCAACCCGCTGGCCCTCGACCCCTTGGTCTCGAACCTGAGTATTACGAGCCCATCAACGCTGGTGTCCCAGCTACCCCGACCAAAACCCATCGTAAGCGAAGTCGCGATTACTTTGAAAAGACTCTCACACTCGCTGGACAAGACATGGCGAACATGAGAGACATCATGAACAAGTATGCTCTCGAAAACGACGAGAAGGTGGACGATGCGGTCACCGAGGATGGCGAGGATAGCGAGGATAATGAGGATAACGAGGATAACGGGGGTGACGAGCTGACGCCCAAGGCCTCTATCCTCAACAGCAACATGGATATTGATGTGGATTAGTCTGGGTACCGAATGGTTGCAGAAGGAAAATTGGTCTCTATTGGTCTCTCTCGGGTTGTTCTTGCTTTTATTCCCACTTGGGCATCGTGTTTCTCGAGGTTTTATCCAGGGAAGGAAGAAAAAACTGGATAGGAGGAAGGATCGAGGGCCGTCGTTGGTCGTTAGTTGGCTGATAGCCGTTTTGTGCATAACTCGCCCAAGATAGTATCGCTTACGTTAGCGCCTCAATCCTCAGTTCACTTGCAGACTTGATCCGCTTAAGCCAATATCTCATCCACCATGGGCGTCTCGCAGCAATCACACCCCCTTCTGCCCCTTCCACCCTCTCCTATCACTCACTCCAAACCCAAAACGGTACGGAGAGCAGATACATCCCACGAAGGAGACCCGTCGCACCCGCACTTAGACACACGCGCGCCAGATAAGCTCCACCCCTCAGAAGCGTCTTGTCAATCAAGGTCGCCTTTTTCTTTTGTGGCAACAGCGGCGCCGGCGCTGTCACCCCGTCCCCCGGTTCACCTCCGGGTAAAACAGAGAAGCGAAGCGAGCACGAGAGCAGAGCACCATCTCACTCACGACAGCTGCCCGCCAGTTGTGCAACCCAACCCACACCCCTCCCCCCCTCGAAAGCGGGCAGAAACACCAAGGGCCATGAACTTTCCCGCCTCCACCTCTAACGACTTCGCCTTCAACCCCATCCCCAGCTCCAACAACCAGTCGCAACAACAGTCCCAGCAGCAACAGGTCCAATTCTCTTCCCGCCAGCTCCAGCTACAGCAACAGCAGCAACAGCATCAGAATCAACAACAGCGGCAGCAGCAACAACACCAACAACAACAACAGCAGTTACAGCTACAACATTCCCTCCCGTCGCCGCAACTTCCTTCGCCTGCGCCGTCCGCCAACGCGCAATCCCTCTCCGCCGCCCAGCAAGCCCTCGCCCACGCGCAGTACCAGCAGTTCGTCCTCATGAACGGAATGAACGGCGGCAATGTGCCCAACGGCATGGGCGGCGTGCCCACTCCGGCCGGCCAGCAGGCCGAGCTCAACTACATTTATGGCATGGTCGAAGAGCTGAGCAGGCAGCTTACGGAGAATCGTCGCGTCACCGAGGATATCGTCTCTGGTCTTGGAAGGGTGCGCAGTCGCGCGAGGACGCAGGGAATGGGTAACGACGACCTCATTCACAACGCTGCAGACGACATTCTTGGTACGCCCTTTGCTCGCATACCCGCCTACGCGCACATGTCCCAGCTGCTGTTTTTTTTTAACTGTAGTCACTGACATACTAAACTCTCTCTTCAGCTCAAGAACAGAATCTCGACACCCTAATCTCCATCCTCTCCGAGTCTCTCGAAAAAGCGAAATACAGCCGCGACGCCAACGCGACACTCCTCAGCCAGTACGCGACAGTCTTCGCCGCAATGCTGAAGCAATTCCACGAATACAAGGCAAAGCACGTCACCGATGTCGCGGCGTGGCACCGCTCGTACCGATCCCAGCTCGCCGAAGCCCGCGCCGAGAATAGCAGACTCCGGGAACAGATCTGGGAGATGCAGGAACGCGCGGGGAAGGCCAACGAGGTGCTCCGCAACTTCCGCCGCAAGTACGACGAGGACGAGACGCGGTGGGATCGGCGCGTGGAGGACGTGGCCGCGCGCCAGGAACTTCGGTTCTGGAAGCGCATGGCCATGCCCGAAGTCAGTGACGAGGACCCTTGCTGGAGCGACGACGACGACCTCATCGACCCGGCGGAAAAGGAGCGGTTGAAGGAGCTGGAGAAGAGAGCCGCCCAAGAACAACTTTCCGGGAGCCAGCAAATGGGTGACGAGTACTCGCGTCCGCAGTCGCCGGAATCTAGCATGATGGGCGGCGTGCCGATGCAGAGAGATCTGGGTATCCCCATGGGTATGCCTGTTCCGCCACCGAGGCCCTCGAGTGCGAATTCGAGCACTGGCTCCTCTGGCCAGTGAGGCAGTACATAATGCATTTAGTACCTGTTTTATGAAGCATGCCATCGGGATTGTGGTGGCGTAAGGAGCATTCTGGGTAAAAAAGTTGCCGGCGTTGGGGATTGCTGGAAAGGAGAATCGCCTGCAAAGCAAATGGGCGATCGCATTATACCTCACGTCATGCTGGCCAAGCACCTTGGCCTTGGTCTCTGTTCACGAATACATTGATTAATGGTTTGTTGAAACGAAAGAAGACTCCTAATGAGACTGTCCCTTGTGTACTGTTACTACTGCTAGTGTTGCTATTCAACTACTAAGGAAAGCATAAGGCACGCAACTCCGACTGGCTCTCGCCGCTCAAACCCCTGACCGCTGCGGTCAGTCACCTCAACGGAACCACTGTACATCGGCGGCATATATCACTTTTCATCGCGGAGTAAGGTGACGCCCACATCGTTCGAGATAGGAACATCCTCCAACAGACGGATACCCGTCTGTACATCCATGTCATCCAATGGGACCAGCATAGGCTGCTTCACCTTCATGATTATCGACTGCCAAACCCGGTAGCCGATATACAGTATAATCGGGATCACCGTTCCAATGTTGTCGCGGATGATGGCCTGCGCATCATGGCCACCGACGGGCCAGATTGCCGTTAAGACATTTGCAGCGAGCCCTATGAAGCAAATGGCGAGACCAACCCAGCCTCCCCAGACGCCAAAGGGGCTTCTCCAGAGAAGCTGACTGGTGTCATTTCCTTGCGCTGCCCATGCCTTGCGGAAACGAATATGACTGACGCAGATGGATGCCCACGTGTAGTAGTTGCTAGCTCCCGAAAGGCTCAATAGCCAGTCAAAGATGGCGCCACCGCCGGGTGCCAGGTTGACGAAGGCAAGGAGGCCAAAAACGGACGTGATGGCGAAGGCGTATACAGGCACGCCCCATTTCACGGTGGCTCCCCACCGAGGGCCCATGCCTCTTTCGCAGATAGCTTGGAAGGCTCGGCTGGCAGCGAAGATGCTGGTGTTGGCCATTGAAATGATAGCCAAAACGATCAGGGCGTTGAAGAAGCTCGGGAGATGCTGGATGTTGGCGAGTTGTGCTGCGAGCGTGAAAGGGCTATACTTGGCTCCGTGACCGGTTGAGGCTAAGCCAGGGTCATTGGACGGGACGACGAAACCGAGCAAGAGGAGCGATATAATATAGAAGAAGAAGATGCGGCCGAACACGATCTTGGTCGCCAAAGGAAGGGCTTTCTGGGGGTTCTTGCACTCAGCCGCTGTCAGGCCCAGGAGCTCCGTGCCACCATACGACATGCCGGCGGTTCGGAATACGAGGAAGAAGCCCGATATGCCATTCTTCACCGCACCGGGATCGTGCCAGAATTTGGCTCCTGTTCCGTGTCTATGAAAGGTTAGATTGCTTCGGTCTGAATTGCGATTCAAGCAGAAGATAAGTACCGTGGATCTGATGGAACGGCACCAGTGATGATGAAGATCGCAACAAAGATGAAGACGGTGATAGCGAGGGCCTTGCCGATGCCGAGAGCGTGTTCGATTTCGCCGAACCACTTGGAGCCGAGAAATGAGGTCGCGGTCAGAACGACCAAAATTGGCGTTATCACATAGGCCGGCTGCAAGTCTGGGGCCCAGTACTTGATCTGAGCTGCGATCACCGTGAGCTCGAAAGGAAAGACAATGAGCCAGTTAAACACGAAGTTCCAGCCCATTGCGAATCCCCAGGGTTCCGATATCATGCGTCTCGAGTACTCGTAAAAGGCGCCTGCTACAGGATACGCGGCTGCGACGATACGTTAGCTTTGCACTGCTATTGCGGTCTGACATATCGATATGGGAAGGGAGTTCGGGACAGGGATGCGGAAGAACACTTACCGGCAAGTTCACCCAGGCAGCCCATGGTACATGTTACGCCGAAGCCGACGAGAGCGAAGTTGAGGACGAGAGACAGAGGTCCGCCAGAGCCGAGAGCAGCACCAGAACCGACGAAGAGACCGGCACCAATGGAACCGCCCAACGCCATGAATACCATATGCCGGATGGAAATGTTTCGCTCGAGCTTCGCGCCCTCGGCTGCGTCAATAGGATCGGATATGCCTTGGTCGCTTTGCGATCTCGTGGCCCTCATCTCCAACATCGTTGCCTCCTTTTTAGGAGCCATCATGGAGAGATTGCAAGGGAGGAAAATATAAAGAATGAGGGTAAGATGTCAAGATAAGGAAACGAATGTGGGGGAAAGAAGTGACGAGATGATGAAAAGTGAAGAGGGAACTCGGTCTATATAAAGGGAACGCAGTTTCTTCGAAGGACAGGCGTCCCGATGGAAGCAAGGAGGGGCGGGACAATAATGCTGCGGCACAAAACCACTTTGATAGGCTCATGGAAAGATGGGAGAGGACAGAGGTCCCCGACGGTCGAGCCCTCACAAGGTTTGGAAAGGGCGTTCCGGGTCTCTACGACCACGCGAGTGGCAGTTGCTCCAACACTTTCTTCCACTTGTGCTCATCTCTGCCAGCTACCTTCTGCTTCTCTATTGATAATCACACATTCAACCATCACTGAGGACGCACTCGATGCTCAACGACGAAATCTCTCGAGCAGGAGACCATAGAGAGCGCAAAAAGGCAATCCTCTCCGCTGTCTTGAGAGCCCCGAGTCGCCAGATTAGCTCCATATCGAGAGGTGCCGACAAAGGTCCTCACGCCAGTCCGCCTGGCAATGATTCTGGCGCCACGTATCTAGCGAGGCAATGATGTACAAGACTCCACCGGGTGAAGCCGAGATGTGAGCCATGAATGGTTTGTGGTTCAGAAAGTCAGAACAAGTTGTGAGTTGCCACCTCTCGACAAGCAAGCACAGGAGTTTTGAAATTAATTCATAAGTTCCAGTTTTATCAACGGAACTGATCGATCTTATATCCACCAGCTTTTTCAAAAGAAGAATCGACAATGCCAATTTGGAAAGAAATCTTGTCAACATTGTGTACCCCAATGCCAAACTCAGACCGGCCATCATCTGATATATACTT